TCTTCGGTATGATAACACTCTTCCCCTTCAATTCCGAATCACTCCGAATTCGAAACCAAAATCCTTCACCTCTATTATAACCCGAAATCGGAATTATCAAATCTGCTGGTTTTTCGTACAAACTCATTGAATTATCCACAAACACATCATCTACCATTCTCACTTTCCGATTGTTTCTAGTAGCTGATAACGGCACATTCATTTCCTCAATATAATAGTATAAGATAGTAAGATTAACATAATAAGCACCTGTATAAACATCGTTGACAATATTTTCCATCATCACAGAAAGAGAAATATCCTGTTTGGCAAGGAGGGACGAGTACCTGGTAACATCCTTAGTAACAGTCCAGAAACCACCGCTTTCAGTAGGCTCCGCGGTGCTGGTACGTAAGAGATCGGCACCGTCAAGCCAAACGGCAGCGATACGATCATACTGTACTCCGTTAGAAGAGGCGTTGAATTGAAGAGCAACATGGTTCCAAGAGCAATTCTCCGGCGGCGCGTAAGCGACGGAGACAGGTGGAAGACCGATAGTATCTCCGAAGTGATGAGAGAGAATTGGAAGAGTGCAGGAAGGAGTGAGATTAGCGAAAGGCAAAGGACGATTTATTTCTAAGTATTTTTGTTGAAAGTAACCATGTCTGATGAAGTGAGAAGGGTGCTGAAGGGAAGAACAAATTGGAGCATTAATAAAATTGATTATTATTACAATTAGGAAGAAGAACAGTTGGAGATTTGACATGATTTTAGATGGAAGAGAATTAATTAATTATGAAAAAACTGGAAGTAGCTTATCCTTCTAACGACAAGTTTGAACAAAGGCAAGTCGATAGAATCGATGATTGTTTAAAAACTAAATCGGAGCCGTACACTTAAGCTCTTCTTTTTAAAAATAAATAAATAAATTTGAGCCTTTGATTAGAGTCAAAAAATGTATATGACTAATCTCAGCATTCAGTTGGTTATTTTAAATATTAAATATTAAGCATACTAATTATTTTATTATTTTACTTGCATGACCAAGTTGTGTTTGGTACAGAGAAAAATGTAACACCCCTTCTTTTTATTTACTTCAAAAATATTCTTGAACTATTGAAAACAATTCATATATTACGAGGAATGCAACAACAAGAAGTTCAGTAAACTCAAGGACTACAACAATCTCTAGCTGAAGCAATCAGCAATGCAACATCAAGAAGAACAATTGCAGTATTAGAGAAAAGGGTAATCGTATGAAATGGGTGAGAGTTGTATTAGATAAACGAGTGAAATTGTATCTGTTAAGAAAAATAAGGGCAAAATTAAGTTTTTTGAGTCTATGTGGATGTGGAGGTGAGAGTTGTTTGGTGCTTATATGACATTCTGATGGTGTCTATATGGCGTCCACATGACACACACCTCTGTTAATAGTAAATGTAAATGTGACCTAATACTTTGACGGAAGGGTATTTTCGAGCCAGAAAATAGTTTAAGCGTAAATGTGAGTTATTTTCTATAGTTAAATGGTATTTTTGAGCTTTTTCCATTTTATTTATTTATTGTTGATTCAATATATAATAAAGGCCTAAATCATATACAGACCCCTAAAGTTGTCTGCATATTTCACTTAAACACCTCAACTTATTATTGTACTTATTCAATAACTTATTTGTTCAAAAGTAATTCCTATTTAGTAAAAAATAATAACCTGGCAAAAAAGGTGTATTCCACACTCTTTAAGCACGTAAAGATATTAAAATTAACATTAAGTTTTTCCTTTTCCACTTAAACACTTATATTAATGGATAATATAATAATAATAATTAATAAACAAAAAAAGGAAGAAACATCTTGTGCAAGATGCAACTGTTCATCATCTCTCTCACTCTCTTCAATTCTTCTCGTGTTTTTTCTTTCTTTTCTATGATAATTTAATTAAAATCTTAATTATTTAAGCAAAACTCTATTTTTTATGATATTCCAGTGAAGCAATTGACTGTAACTTTTTGTAAAAATCTATTATTATTTTTTGTATTGTGATAAATGATTATTAATGAGAAGACGATAAAGATAATGGGTAGAAGGTTTTAATGCTATTGGAATGAAATGTAAATAAAGAATTAGCTTAGATGGACAATAATGATATATTATCGACGACGATAAAAGTAAAATAAATCGATGAAAAAGAATTAAAAAGGGAATGGAGGCGCAGAGGACTAAAAAGGGAATGGAAAAGAAGAAGAAACAATGAGAATTTGATAGTTTACAGGCGGACGACGTCAATTAATGAACAGAAAAATAAGTTACAATGGAGAAGAAGAAGAAGAAGAAAGGTAGGTGGAGGTTGGGTTAATTTTAAAAATAATTTGTTATTTTTTAAATTGCTTTTTGATTATTTTAAAAAGATTATTGAATAAGTTAAATTAATTGCCACGTGTCATCGTTTTTGTGGTCCATTTGTTATGTATAAGCGAGATGCATGCATATTTTTATTGATTCCCAATTGGTGTTAAATAGGTATAAATTTATTAAGATTTAAGAGGTCGTTTGGTACAAAGATCATAACGCATGGATTATTAATGTTGAGATTAGTAATGTAGGAATAAGTAGTGCAGAGATTAGTAATGCATAATTTATTTTTATCATGTGTTTCGTTCATTTTTTCCCGCCTCATCTTTTGTTTGGATTATAGCTCTAAATAGCTTCTTTCCAAATATACCCGTGAATTATTATATAATTGGATCAAGGTATATAATTGTTGGACAATATTATTTTTCATAACCTTCTAACTAGCTATGGGAAGAAAAGTTTAGTTGTCTTGTTTGTTATTTTTTTAACTTGAATTATTTGAGGATAAATAATTGTCATCTTAATAAATTGATCACTCACAAAAGATCATTTTTCAATTAAAAAAAGATAAACCATCTACTTTTAAAATCGAAAAAACGATCAACACTGGTAAATTTGATAAACCATCTACGTGTACATATAAAACTGCAAGGTTTAGTTTTAATATGTATGTACATTTTTTTAAAGCAAATATACACACACACACACAAAAACAAACAAACAAACAAACACACATTCAATTTAGGTCACAAACTTCATATACAAATATATAACTCACATTTCAAATTTGTATTAATTTGTATTGAATTTATTAGTAACGCTCTCTACATAATTTGTAAGCTAATTTATTTAAATAAACTTACTAGTAGAAATATAAATCATAAAATCAAGAAATACACAAAATAATTAAAATAATTTGAGAGATATTTTTGTCTTTACATAGCTTATCCCATGGTATTATATCCTATGTATTAATAATACCTCCAAATGGAAGGTATTAGTAATACATCTTATAATACCATGTTGGAGGTATAACTAATTCATGGATTAGTTATACATAAATTCAAATTCCTACCAAACATGGTACTAAATAATACCTTACATAATTCATAGACTATTTCTTCTAATGCAGTCTACCAAACAATCCCTAAGTGTTCAGCAGGTATAATAATAAGTTGAGGTGTCTAAGTGAAATATGCAAATAACTTTAGGGAATCATATATGATTTAAGCCTATAATAAATATAATAAATTATAGTTGAAGATGAAATGATAAAAATGAATAATAGAGTATCAGGAGAGATATCTCGCTTTCTTTTTAAAGAAAAGTTCAAACTCATTGATATAGTGAGTTTATTATGATCTATAACACTTATCAATGTTTGAATTATAAGTATAGTCATTTTTGTAAGTTACTTGAAGAAATAATTGGTATACTAGTTAACCATTTCATGTCTATTAAATGGTAGAGTCTCAAACATACTTTTTCTGTCTCTAATTATTTATTTATTAGTTATTTTTATATACTTGTCTATTTTGACAAATAAAAAAAGGATAATTTTTTTACTTCTTGAAAATTTTAAATTTTATTTCATTCGTTTCTTGATTAATAAAGATAAAATGATAAAGTCACTATATAAATTATTATTTTCTAATTGACATATCAATTTAAAAGTAAATAAATAATTAAAAAATTTCAAAAAAAAAGTACTCTTTTTATTTGAGAACATCTTGAGATTGAGATGAAAGAAGACAAAAAAAACTTTAGAAAAGTGAGAATAATTCAAAAAATATCAGTGTAGTTAAGTAGTTGAGTACCACGACATTTTTTAATATGCCATTTATGAACATACGGCTCTAGTAAGTACCACAATCATAATTGTTTACACATTTCTCCATCGACGAAAACTGCCACATTCAAGTTATTTAAAAAAATATGGCCAAGTATTCAATGCAAAAAACACGTAAAATATTGAATGCTGACAGGTATTATTTTTAAATCTGTTTTACTTAATATGAAATTTGAAAACATCATGAAAATTTTAAATATATAATTTTAAATTAGAAATATTTTAAATATGTTAAAATATCTTTTATTTTAATAATATTTAACACATAGAAATTATTAGTTTCCTCTTTAAACTATTGACAGTATTATAAATATTTTTTATATAACCGACTAAATTTAAAAGCACTTTTAATTTGTCACATCAAATAACAACTAAATCACAAACTCTCTTGGAACATAAACTCTCCTAGAAAAGAATTGGAAAAATCGTTAAAATTAAAACACTTTTGAACTTAGCAAGAAAAAAATAATTTTAAAAATTATTACTTTCTTTATTTAAAAAAAGTAATCTTATTTCTTTTTTAATATGTTTAAAACAATGATACTTCTTTTTTGTAACACTTTAATTTTAATTTTTCACGTAATATATTTAAGATCACAAAATTAAAAAATATTTTTATATGTTTGACATAACTTTGAACATTACACGTTTAATATTTTTCTACTATTTAAATTTAAAAGAATTTGGGCAACTTTTTGCAAGACGTTTTGGTCAGTCAACACTACACATGGGACCCCAGCTTTATGCGCTCACTCCCTTAAATGCATCCAATCACCAAAGTTCAAAAAAATAAAAAACGAGTGAATTTCTTCCTCCTCTCATGGCGATTCTCATCTTCTTCTTCATCACTATCAGCTTTATTGCTCCATCTTCATCTTCTTTACCTGAACACCATTTTCACTTTACCAAAACTGGTCTTCGCCACAACACTTCATCGCAGCCACAGCAATACATAGAAATCAGTCGTCCATTGTCATTCACAAATCTCCCTCCTTCTTGTACTTTTCATATCCTTACTCATGATTTCGCCTATACCATGGGTCTCCCGCCGGTCTCTGCTTCTTACTCTCCTCCGGCCAATTGCTCCTGGACTCATGTGGCTCTTCAGTTTAATGTTTCTTCTAAAGGAGAGCAATACGATCGAATCGCCGCCATTTGGCTTGATGGCGCCGAGCTCCTCCGTACCAGCACCGCTGAGCCTACCGATGACGGTATTTTCTGGACTGTAACGAAGGATGTTACCAGGTACTCCTCCATCCTGGTCAACGAGAATATATCTCTTTCTGTCATGATGGAAAATCTGGTCAACGATGTTTATACCGGTGTTTATCAGGTTAATATTAGTTTCCTCTACTATAATAGTAAGAAAATGGATGTTTCGTTATCGAACAGTTATAATCGGAAAATGAAGCCGGATAATGAGATTGAAAAACCGGCAGATATGATAATACCAATATCGGGAAATGGAAGTGAAGGATTTTGGTTTCGAATTATGAATGAATCAGATCTGCATGGGCAGAGTGTTATTATTCCGAAAAATACATACAAAGCTGTGATTGAGATTTACGTATCATCACACGGGTATGATGAGTTTTGGTACACGAATCCGCCTGATTCATACATACAAATGAATAATTTAACTACTAAGAGAGGCCATGGATCGTACAGGGAAGTTTTGGTGAATATAGATAGGATGTTGGTTGGATCTGTAATTCCATTTCCTGTTATTTTCACTGGCGGAATTAATCCTATGTACTGGGGACCACTAGTTTCGATTGGGGCATTTGATCTTCCTTCGTATGACATTGATTTAACACCATATTTGGGGCTTTTACTCGACCGTCAAGCTCATTTTCTAGAGCTTGGGGTGAATGACAGTATCCCATTCTGGCTTGTGGGTGCTAATTTGCACCTGTGGGTGGATAACAATTGTGTATTGCCTTGTGAAGTGCAGGCTAAAGTTATTGATTTCGGTACCCCTAAGTTTAACATTGAGCGATCTTCGAGTTTTCTAGGCCTGGATGGATCATTTGAGGTTGAGATTAAGAGGAAGAGTGAGATTTCTTATTGGGTGAACTCAACAACAGGAAAATTGACTACTATAATCAAGCGAGAATTGAAGTTCAAGAACGAAATGAACTTTTATCTAAGCGGAACTGAGAAAAAGATTAAGCAAAAAGTGGAGGAAGAGATTGAAGTTAGCGTATTGTCTAATAGTGGTGGCACGATCTCTAAAACCAAAGTGAAGAGGAAGTTTCCGCTTACTATAACATCTAAGACTATATCATCAATGGAGAATGATACGACCTTGATGCTTTCTGATTTGGATCATGAATGGAAGGAGAAGAAGAAGTTGGATGGAGGTCCTTCAACCTCATTGAAAAATCGGCAGCAATGCAATGGATGGGTGGTTGTTCAAGGTCGCAATGTTTTACATGGTGGGGCAACCACTCAACAAACTTATTCTTACGACAATGAAGCTGATTGCTATTCTCGAACCGTTTCAGCTGCCAATGGCAAGCTTATGAATGACACTGCAAACATTCTTTGTGCAGCAGCTCCTTTGAAGTTTGGTTCATTTTCTGCTTTGTGACACCCTCGTTTGAAGAATACATTCTTGTCCTACGAGAGCATCCCGTGTGTAACACTACAGGAATTTCTTGCCTATGTGGTTTGCCTGTACAATTTATGTTTTTGTGTCAAAGGTGCATGCTTCCATAAGGATGTCAAGTGTTCTAGCTAGGAAATGAACTGTGTTTTTGATAATTTGCTTGATGTAATTCTTTTTTTTGTCTTTGTTTTTGATATGAACCCGAGTTTTGAGCCTTCATCTTGCAACTCTCTTTTCATAATGAGCTTAGAATAATGGTTTAAAAAAAATAAACCGCTGTCTCAAATAATTGTGATTGGTTATATGAATTTTCACTTCTTTATTTGAGGATCAACTCATATCATCATCATACTAGATAAAATTTTAAGGGGAAAATTTCTTTAGTTTATAACAAGAATAAGTTTGCTTTAAACAGTTGGTGGATTTATCAGTTGCTGTACCATTAGCATTCTGCGATGGTGCAAGTGGTTTTTTTTTGGTTGCCAATATATGTTGCACAAAAATCTAAAATTACATCAAAAGTACTAAGCGTCTCAAAAAATCCACAAGCTTTCGAATTTTTTTTTTGTATTCATTTCAATACTTCCTTGAGGGGAAATGAATGAATCAACAGGATACATTCAGAGGAAAATATGCTATAAATTGTTGAGAACTATATATATGTCTACTTTTCTTCCTCTCCACTCATAAACTGGAGATATCACTGTAAAATATACAAAACTGCTTGGACCTTCATTCCCTTGCAATGTCTTTGGGGCGCCAAAAGTCTTTCTTACCAACAAGAAATTGATGCTGATACAGAGTAACTGACCAATGAAGTGAACGTAGAATCGAGCCTAGTTGTTTAATCATCTGCAGAGTATCTTGAACTAAAATGTATCCACCTGGTCTCACTATTCTGTCCATCTCCACAGCGACATCCACTAGATCACATCTGCAGAAGAGAAAAACATACTAAAAGTTCATCCAAAGAGACATGTGCAGACGCCTCTAAATATACTGATGATTCTTGTGAAAGAAAATAGAGCTAGAATTACTGCAAGCGCCATCTTATATTATTCCGATTAATAAATAATCAAACTATAGTAACCGGGAAGTAGAGACTGAACCTTTGACTAAAATTTCCAAAGAGGAAGCTGGAATGTAGAAGATCATATGTCCGAGGATAGGTATTAAAGGACTCGCACCAGTCATGGTATGTTCCAACCAAGCCCCTATCAAATATTATAGGTAGAGTATCTGGTCCACTGATAGGAACAACATTCATTACCCACAGGGATCGATCAATCAGTGCTGTAGCAAGTCTGTTTTAATATAGGAGTACCGGTAAGACAATGAGCAGAGCAAGGAAGCAGAAAAGTTAAAAAGTAAATTTTTCTTACCCTCCATAGCCTGCATTCATGTCCATCACATTCCTCACACTTGACCAATTTATAGCAAGGCTTCCTAAGTACACATCTGATACCAATGATGCCCAGTGTCTTGTATCCTGGTTGAATGTTTCTTCAGCATCTGTTTCTAGCGATAGACTTAGAGGTTTCGTGTTAAGCCTCTGAGGCCAGGGTGCAGGCCACTTGTAGCTACTCGAGGCTAGTGGTAGAAGGCAGTTGTCAAGTGGTGTGTACCTACATATTGGATGTGAAAGTTATGATGATTCGAATGAAGATATAGATGATTATTGTGATTAAAGTGTTTCAAGCGTACCAGGAACTATTCAGCCTATTCTTCTTCTGGTCACACATCGGGGGAATATTTTCTTTGCGATTCTCATAGCAGGAAGATGAATCTGATTTTTGATATATAACTAGCCCGACTCTACCTCTTTTAAAGAAGGTCCTTGCCACCATCTTCCAGCACATTGCTTCAGTCAGATTAACCATAACTGCAACAACAAGACCGAAAATTATGTGCTACCACGCATAACAAAAAACTCACTTCCAAATTATATCGAGAGTATTAGTAAATGTTAATTCATAGAACTAAGCATCGATGATTTGGAACCTTTCCAGACATTCTTATGTCCTTCATCCTTCTTATAAACTGGCGTTGCAGACCATATGAAGTACCCTCCCGGCCTAAGAATCCTGTTGAGCTCCATCAGTGGTCTTCCTCCTGCAGTTCTCAATTAGTTACCATATCGACAATGTAGCTAGTAGAAGGACTAGAAAATCTGAGAATAGCGACTCACCATCTGCATGCCAATGAACCCTGCATCTTGCGCAATGAATCATATCATATACATTGTCTGGAAATGCAAGTTTTTTAGTTGCAATGACTGAGAGAGTAGCAGGGATTCCACGCTCGAGGGCAAACTGTATCTGAGCCTCGTGTTCATCCTTTGGAGCAAATGACATAGTAATGACATTTTTATCCAGCAAATAACCACCAAAGCTAGCAACACCACATCCAACATCTAAAAGGACCCTTATACTCTTTCCCCATTGAATCGTTGGAAAAGTCTGAATAAAACACAACAAGGAACTCAGATAAAACAGATCATAAAACACTAATACTGCGGGGATGTTTATCAATCTCCAGCTGAAAACAAACTGTTCAATTGAAAAGAAAAAAACTGTCAAACTACTAAATAATCCCATGATTTAGTCAGAAACAATGATGTCATAGATAGATCCCAACTAAGAGAATCAATGGAAAATGTGATCTACATCAGACAATAACCTGCATGTACACATTACAAATACTATAATTTGGCATGGAATTATATTGGTTTGACACGTCTAGAAGTCCTCTCTTGAAAGCACAAGATATCTCTACCTAATATCCAATAAACATGCAATCAGAGGAGCTACGGCAACACAGTTCAACAGGAATGGACATACATTATACATGACTATTGCGTGTGATGAAGGAAAAGAATGCTACAAATAGATACAGTACCTCTTCAATGAATTCGATATAGTGATTCACTCCATCTCTGAACTGTGTTCCACCACCAGGGAAAACAAAATAATCGCCCGACTTTTTAACCCAATTCTGGTCCTTCTTATATTCCACAAGCTTAGGATGAGGAACATTATCATACCATATCTATTTCAGAAAGAAAAAAAAAGAAAAGAAGATCAGGCATAGCTATTTCTATTACGAGCAGAACAAAATGGTATCATGAATTGAAAACACAAAATCTTACCACCAAAGAAGGGAAAATCTCACCATATCCCTACTCTTAGGCCACGGAAGGGGCAACTTATAACCTTTCGGCAATGGAACCAAACATCTAGGACTAGGAACAGGGCAATGCCTTTCCCTATGCTCCATATGCCTTCTCGATTTTATTTTTTTGATTGCCTTCCAGTTATCAAGGCATGGTATGTAATCAACCGCCAGGGGACCTGGACATAGCTTCCAATGATAAGAGAACGTTTCCAACTCATCCCTGATGGCCGTGTCAGTCAGCTCAGGGTTAATCTTAAGCGGAACATTAGACGTCTCAGGGTCAATCCTGACATTATTCAACAGGGACTCACGATTGATGCTAGTATTATTGTTTTCATCAGATTGGTGTAGATTAGTTGAATTTGAAGTAGTGATAGTGTTAGGATTAAACTCCGGGACTGATTTGATTAGAGCGGCGCGTTGAGCAAAGTCGATGGCAGCGAAAATGGGTGATTTCTGGGAGTTAGAAATGAGGAGGAAAGTTACGAAGATTAGTAAAAGGAATAAAGAGAAGATGAATGGATACTTGCGTTGTTTGAACATATCTTGCATTGAAGACGATGATGATATAGCCATTTGGGATTCAAATTTTTTATTTTGTTGTATTTGTTAGCTCTGAATGGAAGAAAAAAAAAGAGTGAAAAATGCAATGGTGTAAACAGCGAAACTGATGGTGATGAATTGGAGAACTGTTGAAGTTTGAAATGTGGTTAAGAGATTACAAGGATCTGGGTGTAGTGGGGGCCACACAAAGGAGGGAAATCTGGTTAACTAATTTTGGAATTATTGTTTTCATTACCAGGCCAGGTTATTAATTAGTATAATTAATTAATACTAACACCAAAATAATTTTAAGGAAAAATCACACCATAAAAAAAATAGGAAACTTTCACATATAGTCACTATAAAATAATTAATTACTCTCCATAGCTATAGTTTGATAATTACAATTTGTAGCTACATGTTATTTGGAGGAAAGATGCGAGCGAGACCGGGAGAGAGGGGGAAAAGAGTGGAGAAAGGTGAATTGTATATGTATATTGGTTAGATAATTGTATATTATACATATTTAATTGTATATAGGGCAAGAGATATTGTGAATGGGAGGAGAGAGGCGAGCGAGATTGGGAGAGGGAGGAGAGAGGCGAGCGATATCGAGAGAGGGAGGAGAGAGGTGAGCGAGAGAGGACAGAGAGTTGGAGAGAGGTGAATTGTAATGTATATAATTGTATATAATTGTAAATTATACATATACATTTGTATAAATGGCAAACGAGATTGGGAGAGGAAGGAGAGAGCGAGCGAGATTGAGAGAGGGAGGAGAGAGGCGAGCGATAGAGGGCAGAGTGGGAGAGAGGTGAATTGTATATGTATACAAGCTAAAAAATTGCATATTATACATATTTATTTGTATATCCTGGCAAATTATGCATATACAAACATGACTAATTATACAAACTCGAAGTCAACCCACGTAATTAATGTATAATGTTAGTTGCGAGTTGTAATTATAGCAAACTATAGCTATGATGAGTAATTAAATAGTATAAGTTTGCTTATCAGAGTAATTTTTCTTAGACCATTTCCAACCCACTTCTATTTTACTCTCTATTCTCTATATTTGGAGCATAAAATAGATAATGGGCACTCCAACCCACCTCTCAATCCTCTCTATTTTACTTTTTAATATTTTATCATTATTTCCATTACTTTCCAATTAACATATTATTTTATATATAGTTTCATAAATTAAATATCTAATATTCATAAGGCATTTTAAATGTAATATAGTATTTTAAAAAATATAT